GCTGTCAGCAGATGTTGGCAGGTATGAGGTGGACTTGTGGTATTCTGTTTGAAATTAAATAAATTGTCAACTATTCTAATGGGATAATGTTTCTAAAGATAAAAAGTATTAAATTTGGTATGTAAATGTATGGAAATTGGCAGTGAGATTTAGAAAACTGCACAAGAGGCACCACCTGAAATCTTGCCTAGGGTCACCAAATTACAGAAAACAGGAACAACCTGAGCTGAGTTAGGGGGTTTGTTTTCCAGCTCCATGGTCAAATCAACTCACCCTGACTCCTCCTTCCAGCTGTCTTTATCTTTACATTGTTGAGACATGCTAAGAACTTTCTCCAGTTCCTGAAACACATTCAGAAATTGCAACATTTGACAAAAAAAAAAAAAGCAATCGACTTTTCACTCCATGAGTTCTCCACGAAATTCTYCCCAAACGTTTCGGGATCATCTCAGAACCAAGCAAAACAGAAAGGTACCTTTATGCAAGACACATGACTGCTTTGCTGTCCATCACACTCTGACAGAGCAGGATCCTCATCGGGGTTGGGCTCTATAAAGTCACAGAGATCCTGATCTGATGGAGGGAGGAAGCATCCGCGTTCAYCACATGACTGTCACATTTTAGGCACTTCATTCTACTACCCCATGTCTCTGTTATTGCTTTCAAAGGGAAAATGTGATACTTATATTCGGTAACCTTTGCAAGAGTCCATTTTGGAGAGTAARGAAAGGGCATCAGCACGGGCTGTCTCTGAAACTTGGGAGTGGAGGCTGACGGTGTCGTCGTCTGAAGGCTGCAGGAGAAGTCAATAAGAAAGTTATCAGTGGTTTAGTTATTGTCTTCAGGACCACGTAATTGCTCACATATTAAAAAAAAGGTTATATAATTCACTGTGTAACACTCTTTCCTCCCAAAAAAATGTTTTGAAAGTCGCAGTCAAAGTTAAAAAAAAAAATTTCTAGAACCAATTAGTCTCTGGTGTGTTAATGTGACACAATGCAGGTTCTTGGCTCAGAGACATGAAAGTCAGCCACAGACAAGTAAACATAAAGCACTTGGGTCTTAAACTTTTAGATTCTTGCGCCAACGTCTATGTTAACCCTAAATAAATATGTCTGTCAGCTGTCAGTTCCTGATTTATCACCTGCTAATAGGCTGCATTTACCACCTCCTGCTGACACACATCAGTGGAATCTGAGAGGAAATCTGATCCAAGTAAGCACACATCAGAAAACACTTGAACTAATTAGAAAGAACCGGTTCATTGATTTACAATCCCAATTCCAAAGAAGTTGGTTCATTGTGTAAAACATAAATAAAAACCGAATAAAATGATTTGTAAAGCCTTTTCAACTTATATTCAATTGAATACACTRCAAAGACAAGATATATTGGCCAAGGAGTTCCTCTGGGTTTGTGCTTCAAGCAATACTTATTATTTTATAAATGTTCCCATTACATAAAATGATTAGATGTCAAATGGATTAATTTTTATATGATACTTTTTTATATTTGTCAATAAGAACTAATCAATTTAATCACATAGTTAGATTACAAGAGTGTCTCAGAGACATAAAAACCTGGATGATGCTTAATTTTCTGCTTTTAAACTCAGCAAAGACAGAAATTATTGTCTTTGCAGCTTAAGATCTTAAAAAATAAGCTTTATATACTGCGCATTACAGTGATACTTTTGGTTTCCAGCTCTAACATGTCTCTGCTTTTAAACTTTCCCTTTGATAAATCTTATAGTAAAGCTTGGTCTGTATGAGCCATGTCTTTAGTTATGCTGCTGAAAGCCCAGACTTCTGAACACCTTTTGTCACATTTGTTTTTTACTCAGAATGGGCCTCATGCAAGAACATGTTCGTATTTTTATCCTAAATTTCTCTTACTTTTGTTCGTACAAAGGGTTCGTAC